AGAGATTATCCGTAATGACCCTCAGATTTTCTGATTAAATTCTTAAATTAATACTTATATTATTTATGTGTAGTATACTGAAAAAAGATAACAAATAAATCTAAATGAGTAACTTGACCTCGGTAATATTAATTTAGTGACATAGATCTTATGATCAGTGAGTAATAAATAACATCATGTTGATAGGAAATGACTTTGTTAGATATCAATTGTTTAAGTAATAAGTTTTCATTCTTTTTGTTTCAACTCATGTTGTTATTGTTATCATCATTGTTCTATTTTTCTCTTTTGCACTTTTTAGTTGATTAGAAATCTTACGAAATATTAAGTCTCTATAATAAAAATTTCCTGTTTTCTCCTGATACTCTTGAGACTTAATAAAACGTGGAGCACTAAAAGTTTAGTAATGTATATGTTATAGATTTATATTATTCAGTACCATATTGTAGTGTGGGTTACTTATATTCACATGAGTTATATATAATGATGGTCGGGCATTGAATGTATTTCAGTTTTAAGATCGATAACGAAAAAATGGGAATGAAACACAATTAATATGAAAATGCATGAACAATGAAATCAGAGAAGATGAACTGATTTTTGTAAAAGGAACAGTTAAGATTTAGTCTCGCTCCAGAGCACTTAACCGATAGACCACTGAGCTGGCCGGCATCTAACGGTGTTAATGTCTAACTTCAACCAATCCACGATGTTTGAGCAACCGTCGACCAATTGTCTTCAGTGAGTTGTTATCTCACAACAGACGTGGTTGAACTCCTTGGTTCGAATCTCGCAAGGCGGGATCGTGGACGTGCACTACCGAGGAGTCCCATAATAGGACAAAACGGCTGTCCAGTGATTCCAGGTTTTCCATGGTGGTCTAGCTTCAATTGATTCATGATTTCAACTATGAAAATACTGAAATCTTCACAAAAGACCTCCTTCAAAATATACTGTTTTGGAACTTCAGACTGTAATATGTTAATTTATTTAGTCATGATTGCTCACTACTTAACAAAATTGAGGATTCGAAAAATTACATAAATATAATAGTAGTGAATACTAAACACATGGCTTTTAAAAGATTTAATGAATTTAACCAATCCTAATCATATCCGCATAGAATAAGCACTTCCGGTTTTGTATAAATATTTCTGTTCTTAACTGAAAGATATTTCTTGGATTCATGAATTGGTAATAGTGAATTTTTTGAAATACTGTAAATATAGACTTTTGCCTTCTGATGTTTACATTTTAATTTCTTAGGAGTGAAAATTAATGGGTATATATTAGTTCATTTGTAATAATTTGAATATATTTAGTGGAAAACATATGAATGCATATAATATCACCACATACTAGATATTTCTTACATTTACCTTAGTACTTCAACAGACGTTTATCAGTTCAGAAGATAAGTTTTATCTATCGTGTTAATATTCCATAGAATTATTAATGGTGATCATCAATAGACGAAATACCTCAATAAACAGCTTTCTATCCACATCCTCTACCCATTAACTTTATGATGACTGTGTTGATGAATGTACAACGGGGTGCATATTTGAAAAATATTAAATACTTTGTTATTAACACACTTGATTTAGGTGTAAGAGTAATAGTTTTAGAACAGAAAATTCAGTAGTAAATTATAGATTCTTGATTCATTTCGGTTTTAGTACATATTCAGTTTCCGCTCATCTTTTTTAACATTAGGAAACGTACTACTTGATGATTATCTAGTAGTTAAAAATATAAAAATAAAACCGACATTGAATGTATCTAAACTAGATAAGAGGATAGTGAAGGTAATCTACGTTATTAGCCGTTTACTTTAAGCTCTACGGAGACCATCAACAAAAAACATTTTACCCAAAGAATGTTGTGTTGGGTGTCAGAATCGCAGACTATGCTACTAAAGAGCATTCTATCGTTTTTATTTCCAGTGAATGTTTTGTAGTATCAGTTGATATGCTAAGCACATATGCCTTATTCTAACTTCTGGACAAGTCAATTCATCAATTCATCGAGTCATGTTTTGATTTTGTTATTCATTCACTTATTAACGCCGACTATTTTTTATATGAGCGTAGGTGTGCGCACACTTCTTATCCTATTTATCACATGTCTGTCATTTATTCTTTTGTCGGACCATAAATATTGATTGAGTCTCTCTCGAGTTGGCTTATCCGCCACCTCCAATACGCATTATTTTCGCTTCGCTCTCTCGAGTTGGCTCACCAGAAATCTCCAATATGTGTCATTTTTACTTCGCTCGCTGATATTTACATATATGCTTATAACTTTCTGGCCTGTATCATTTGTCAATTTAACTGTAGCTGCCGCTTCTCTTTGCCTTCTGATTTTATGCACCGTTAAGATTGGCATTATAACGGTTATCAGGGTGAACGAATAGCGAAGCACGGCGCTACGATTACATCAGTATTATTAAAGTTGTGATTAAAATATAATGTTTAACACTTAATAATCCATGTCAATCCTAAACAATAACGGCACTTCGATTAATTATTGAAAATAAATTCAAAGTTATAAAGTAGACATCAATCATTATAATTACAGTTATCCCTTATCTGTAATAAGTAAAACGATACCACCTGGGATAGTAAAAGAAATAAGAACAAGTAAAAATCAGAAAAAGACTTATCTTTTTCAAGATGACTATAACTGATAAAAATTATTTTGCATAGAATAATTTAACATAATTCAAATATTCATGTTAAAGTTGTTGATTGAATACACCGGAGTTTATTTCTACATTAAATTGTTTTAAAGAATAATATTATAATAGATGAATTCATGAAGATATCATTTGATATTATTGTGGTGTGGACTACTTATATCCACATAAGTAAGCTATAACGATGGTCGGGCATTGAATGTATTTCAGTTTTAAGATCGATAACGAAAAAAAATGAGAATGAAACTCAATTGATATGAAAATACATGAACAATGAAATCAGAGAAGATGAACTGATATTTGTAGAAGGATCAGTCAAGATTTAGACAATTGATTGATAGTTTGTAAATTACTATATGGTTCTCATATATTACTGAGATATTCTGTAATTCTGTGCTCAAATATATTAGGTTGTCTCTACTCATCTTCTTGTTTAATACATTATGAATAAAATCTTCCTATCAATAAAAAAGTGTTTATTATATGTAAAATATAAATAATAATAGTATGTATACTTAAGAACATAAAATAACAAAGTAGTTAGCTTGTACTTAAAAGTTATAACAAACCAAAATGGTCCATTCGACGAGGAATTTCATTTAAACTAGTTACTATCTTTTTTTGTTTTACATTACAAGATTATTTTATCAATTTAAGTTGTTTTACAATTCATGTAAAGAAATAGAATAGTCTATATGATTGTGATTGTCAAATGAAAGAAAAAAGGATAATTAACTAAGTGAAGAAATCGCATTTACTGATTAGAAAAAAAATACCGATTTGTGTTATATTTTTAGTAAACAATTATGTAATTGGTAAGCAGAAATGGATAGTGGTTAGCAGTGGAATCCAAGACGCGCGTTTCGTCTTATTTGGGAAGATTCAAACAAACAATACAAAGTGAATTTAAACTTCACCACATCGCACAAGTAAGTGGTTATCAAGACTCAGTAGCTGAGTGGATAACGCGATGGCGTTTGAAGCGAAAGGCACTAGGTTCGAGTCCTAGAGTGAACATCAACTCTGAGATACAGGTACATTCAACTGACGAGTCCCAAATAGGACGAAGTGACGCGCTTTCTGGATTCCACTGCTAGCAACTATCCATCTCTGCTAACCATGCTTGTGAATTAAGGTATATCGAGGCAATACGCACAATATGCACATATGTCAATTAGAGACTGACCAGTTGCAGTCCTAACACATCGATGAGAAGATTCAAACAAACAATACTAAATGAATTATATAATTGTATTTGATATCAAGAGGTTGTAGTAGAACAGTAGCTAGATAGCGAAGTGAAACAATAAATAAATATCTGAGTATAAAATTTTCTCCAAACATAATAAATATGTAACAATGGAGTTGAATGTGAACAATCAATTTATGTTGTTGATTAGTTTCACCATTTTATACGGATTAACCATTCCGTCCAGTGCTTCCAGGTTTTCAATGATGGTCTAGCTTCAATTGACTCACGCTTTCAACTATGAAAATATTAAATCTCCACAAAACTCCCATCTGATTATAATAATCTTTATTATACATTGAAACATGTTCTTTTTTCTCTATTATCTGGAGTGAGTTAAGTAACACCAAAGATAATAAATGATGGATGAGTGACACTGTATGTTTAATAATGTTAGAAATGTGGATTACTAATAACAAGTGGGCTGATCTTGAAGATGACGACTTGAGCTATTAGCGAACCAATTATATATATATATATATATATATATATACTGAGGAAAAAAGATCATTGGTTACTTTGTAACCTTTTTTTTATCCCTGATCATTCATTAGTCAATTGAAAAGTAGCTTAGACATACAAATTCGGTCAAATATTTTTTTAATGTAAATAATATTTCTCAATATTCTCAATGTACCTACATAAAGTCATTCACCTAATAATTCTGTCTTCAAGAGTTGTTTTTTTTTAATAATAAATAACCCATCCCCCCTCAAATTTCAACAATTTTAACAAGTAAATTCAAATAAGATTACCTATTTCTATACATTAAATAATAAATGATGAATTCTATACAAGGAATAGAATAATGATTTCTTTTTGTTTTTGTTATTTTAATTCAATATAGAAGAAATAATTGAAGGATTTAAATGTTATCATGATCTGTTTTTGAATTTCAAATTATAATAATAAATAAAATTATGATTATTTAAAAGAATAAAACAAAAATGAACATTTCAAGTTTTTTAATTTTAAAAAAAAAATTGAATAATGAATAATTTGAATTTGATAAAACAAATTTTGTTATATTTAACTTGTGAAAAAAAATAATAATAAACTTGTAATTTTAAACAAAAAGTGAGTTGTATATTTAATTTTTGAATCATCACATCGTTTTCTTTTCTTTGATTGAAAATTGAATAATTCATATTGTGTGTGAAACTAAAATACTATTCAGTAATTACAATAATAATGGGAAACAGTGACCAGTGGAGTTCAAACAAGTCTGTTGTAGAGATATCAACTCACTGAAGACAATTGGTCGACGGTTGCTCAAACATCGTGGATTGGTTGAAATTAGACATTAACACCGTTAGATGCCGGCCAGCTCAGTGGTCTATCGTTTAAGTGCTCTGGCGCGAGACTGGTAGGTCCTGGATTCGAATCTCTCGATGAGGGATCGTTGATGCGCACTGCTGAGGAGTCCCATAATAGGACGAAACGGCCGTCCAGTGTTTCCAGGTTTTCCTTGGTGGTCTAGCTTCAAATGATTCATGATTTCAACTATGAAAAATACTGAAATATGCACAAAACCCTTTCTGAACAATAACAATAATGATAACAATTTCGTGAATAGGTTGTAGTTAGATATTGAGTCCACTGAATACCGACTCAGTGGTTTAGAGGTTGAGCGTTCGAGTGTGAGATCGAGGTCCTACATTCGGATTCCATGAGCAAGATTATAGATGCTCACTGATGAGGAGTCCCGTAATAAGACAAGATAGTTTTCTAATGCTTATAAGTTTTTCATGGTAGTCTAGCTTCAATGGATTCATGAATTCAACTATTAAATAATAATAATGACCATGAACACAGTATATTATAAAAGTGGTTAACTTTTACACTGAAGTACCTTTCATAGTCACATGTATTTTGTGATTTTTTAAGAACTTAATTTTCTAGTTTTGAAATTTAGTTATTTTGATTATGAAATTAGTTTTTATAGAATTAGTTTTATTGTAATGTCACAAGCTATGTTGATGCCTTTGATGTTCATATAGTAGACAAAAATGAAGTCAACAGTTTGGCTGAAACTATATGAAACAATACAGTTGGTATTGTTTACTTGAATCTTCCCATTGATTGATGTATAAAACTGCAATTGATCCGTCTCTTATAGGCATATGTACATACAGTGCAAATTACCTCGATATTGCCTTAATTCACAAGCATTATAAGCAAAGATGGATAGTGGTCATCAGTGAAATCGAGGAAATGCGTTTCTCCCTATTTGTGACTCGTCGGCTGGAAGCAATATCGGTTTTTTGTATGGCCATTCTATTTCATTAAATTAAACTGTTCATTGATAATGTATCTTTGTTTGAGATTTAATTTTGTTGAATAGTGACTAATTATAAGGTGAACTCCTTGATATTTTAATTTGAATCTATTACTATTGTAGCTAATGAAGTTAAGAGTAAATCAACTGTCTACTAGTAACATTCAATAACAATGATAATAATACCATAGATTGATCAAAGTTGACGAAAAATATAAACCACGATAATTAGACAAAATGATTGGTAGGTATTGTACTGAACTTAGTGTTTCATTTATACTTAACAAAGAATATTCAATATTCAATAACAATCAATAATATGTGTTGAACAAGTTTATTCACCAAATAGATTTAAAACTGATCAGATCGATTGTAACCGATTAGGAAACCAATTTTTTTTTATTCGTGCCTATTCATCTTTCTAAACTTCACTTCAATACTTAACATCAAATAATTTTATAAATGAATAATAAAAAAAAGTATCTTTTAATGTCTAATACAAACTATTTAGGTCAATGGTTAAAAATTCTTTTCTTTATTATTTTTTTTTCAATTTTCAAAGTGTTTCCGGTTTTGTCGGGTAATAGATAAAGATCATCATGAAAGAAAATTCTACAGTTAGTTTCTTTAAAACGAAAAAGAAAAAAAAAACATATTTGTGAGATCTTGTAAATGATCGAAAAAAAATTTACTTATCTATAAAAGGAAAAAAGGTATAAGGTATAAATTTATACTAAGAATAATATAGAATTCGGTCAACAAATTATTGAACAATAGTGAAATGGAAACTAAGTTAATTTTAAAAATAAACTGATCTTAAGTAAAAATGGTTGGTGGTTTAGCAGTAGAATCCAGTTTGACGCACATTTCGTCCTATTTGGGACTCGTCAGTTGAATGTACCTGTATCTCAGAGTTGATGTTCACTCTAGGATTCGAACACAGTAACTTTCGCTTCAAACGCCATCGCGTTATCCACTCAGTTACTGAGTCCTGATAACCGCTTACTTGTGCAATGGGGTGAAGTTTAAATTCACTTTGTATTGTTTGTTTGAATCTTCCCATTGATGGTGTCTTGGATTCCACTGCCAGCCATTATCCATCTCTGCTTATAATGCTTGTGAATTTAGGCTATATCGAGGCAATGTACATAGTATGCACATATACCAATAAGAAACTGACCAGTTGCAGTCCTAACACATCGATGGGAAGATTCAAACAAACAATACTAAATGAATTTAAACTGATCTTGTCTTGTTTGAAAATGGTATTTCTTAATAAGCAAACTTATATAGCATAACATCAAAAATCTTAGACAAAAACTCATCAATAATGCATGTGCATCATTCTGCATGGTACCAAACATATGACTTTCACATTAAAGTTGAAAAATATGGATGGTTAGATTGTAGCTCAATGGTATCCTCTGAGTGTCTTTTTTATTTTGAAGAGTTAAATAAATACAATCAAACATCTGTTTACTGCTTTTTTGATTTAGATTCATCCTTCCGATCTTGTTAGTTCATAATGAAAAACTTCTTGAAACTAAGCTAATATCTAAATAATGGAAACCTGATCTTCAGCGACAAACAGAAAAAGTAGTCATGAACCCAAGGACAATCGACAACAACAAAACAACCAACCACAAACAAAGTCACCATATGAAATTGATTTAACACTTGTAAAATAAGTAGGTAATCCACTTCTACATGAAGTGGACGTTAATGTTGTTGTCTAGAATGATAATAGAAGGGCAGCAATTAAGCAATTTAGCTAGAAGAACACAACAGCATTAATTGTGTATGTTCTAATGTCTTGTAGATCGTAGATATAAGCATGTTTTGGTTTAAAGTATGGTAACGATGCCGCTTAGATGAATCAATATATTGCTTTATCATTACTATCATTAACAAAATGATTTCTCGAAAATATTCAGTTGACTGAGTGTACAGCCAGTTATAACCAATTTTAATTTGTTTTATTGAATAAGTCTTGTGGGAATTAATGCCCTTTGTACGTGATATTCTTGACACATTGAGTTCAGTCAGGGTACTATGAAAACCAATTCTGAACAGAAATTTTTTACCTAGTATGCGACGTCCTAATAATTTGTACTCAGTTCCTAACTGATAGAGTTTGAAATTTCTGATAGTAAAATTGCAATTACATATGGTATTAGATTAACACTGTAAAATCGTCACTGAGAGGTTTAGAAAAGTCGAGCGATACACATGTAGACCAGATTGCAAGTTGTTTATTACTGACCGATCGACTGAAATATAAACATGTGCAATCTTATTCATGATATGAATAATATTTTACATCAGCTAATTTTAAATACTTTTGTATTAGTATTTTTCTAATTACTGATGATACTATGAAGGTTACTTTTAACGATAGCAGAACGTTTCTTTAGTTTGTTCAAGAAAATCTACCATATTTATCATCAGTGTATTTATGGAATGTGAACTGAAAAGAGAGTGTAACACAAATGTTAATCGACTTTGCTTTTAAGAAGGAGCATCGGCCTAGCGACTTCCGAAGGAACTCGGCTTTCATCATGAGGCGTCATAATTCTTCCTTCAACTCCCAGGGCAGAGTTTAAATGTTTTGAATAATTTTTTCTGGTTAGCGTTTTTTTAAGCGAGTTAATTTTCTACGGGATGGGGTCGCTGATCCTATACCCAATCCACCTCCTTTATCTGGGCTAGGAACCGGCAGTAGCCCCCGGAGGAGCTACAGGAGGCTTTAACCGATTATCTTTGCTTCAGCAATATGAGTTATGAGAAAAATACAAATGAGTTGCACAGTATATAAATAAAAATACTGTAATACAAATTTGTTGATCATTCAAAATTTATATTATCATAACAAAAAAGAAAGAATTTTAATGAATTTCTAAATCTTTTCATCATTAAAATTGTTGCTTGACCAATGTATATGATATCGGAGATATTTTGTTGATTGTTGAGGTTTAACAGTTGAATTCATGAATCAATCTGGGCTAGACCACCAGTGAAAACCTTGAAGCACTGGACAGCCATTTTGTCCTAGTGTGCGACCCTTCGGAAGTGTGCATCCACGAACCCAGACAATGGATGAGTGTTTGTGCAAGATTATGGATTGACTGAAGTTAGAAATTAATACCGCCGAATGCCCACTCAGTGGTTTGGAGGTTAAGCGTTCGAGCGCAAGACCGAAAGTCCCGAGTTCATCTACCGCGTGCAGCATCGTGGATGCGCACTGCTGAGGAGCCCCATATTGGGGCGAAACCTTAATCCATTGCTTCCGGTTTCCAATGATGGCCTAGCTTAGATTAAATACCGAATTCTGTTATTGAAATACTACAGTCTCCACAAATCCTCATAGTGATGACAGTGTTTACTTCAATAACATGAATGTGACCTTGCTGGTTTAAAGCTAAGTCATAGTGAAAACACGTTACATTGTTATTGTTAACCTAAATTTTCAATTCACTTAGAATTATTAACACTTACTTACTACTTTACAGACATACAATATAAATAAAGTATACACTCATACCGTCCTTAAGATTGCATTATGTTCGCGTGAATTATAAGGTTTACAACACTTAATTGACTAATTGTCTAATATATTTAAATAATTTGTAACTAGTAATTTTCCGAATAAAAAAGTTGTGCTGTTTTAAATTGTATTCATCATTATCCGACTTATTTAACAAAATATAAATGTTTTATTCACTTGGTATTGTCTGTTTGAATCTTACCATTGATGTGGCTATCAGGATTCAGTAGCTGAGGGGATGACGTGATGGCGTTTGAAGCGAGTCCTAAAGTGAACATAAACTCTGAGATGTAGGTATATCCAGCTGACGAGTCCCAAATAGGATGAGACACGCGTCCTGGATTTTACTGCTAGCCACTGTCCATCTTTATATATAATAAATGTTTTATGTTTAAAAATAAATAAATCTTGCATACTGACTATCGGGTATAAAATATTTTGTTTAAATTTGTTGTTTGTTTATTTAAGAACTTAATAAAAGATTTATTTCACTTTCGGTTCAACTACAAAATTGACAAAAACTATTGTGGTGTGTGCTACTTATATCAACATAAGTAGTATATAACAATAGTTAACGATAAAATATCTGTCAGCAGAAGCTCAAGAAGATCGAAGAGGAAAGAACAGGAACAGAAAACAATTGGTATGGAAATGTAGAAACAATAAAGTCTGAGACAACTGAATGACATTTTGTAGAAGAAAAAGTAAAGTTTGAGACAATTGACTGATATTTTGTAAATAAGTATTTACTGTATGATTCTCATATTTTACTAAGATGTTCCACTGAAATTTCTCTACTTGTGTTCTCGTTCCCCACACTTATTTTGCTGCTCGAAATGTTCACAACAGGTTTTTGTTTCTATATAATTCGAGTAATCTATCATTTTATATAAAAAAAACCTTGGGATTAGGTTGATAGGATCTGAATTAAACTAGACGGATTGATTTAAAAACTTAAGACTGAAAGTATTTCCTCAATAATTATATAATACCGCTTGTTTCATAACAGTATCTTACAGACTAATTTTTTCGTTAATAAACATTTTCTCGCTTTATTTTAACGTATAGACTACTGAAAATAACTAAAACACGTATCCGAAACACAATGTAGCACACATTTTAAAATTCATCCTGTTTTTCGTAAAGGTTTTATATTTACCAGTGATTGATAACTGAGAAGTGACTCATTAACTGTAAAATATCCCAGTTTTAAAACAGAAAAGTCGCTGCTTGACTAGCTCAGTGGTAACTTTTGAGACTGTGAAGTTTAGTGAAGCTTTGTTGAATCCACCAATGAGTACCATTTTCTTTAAGATAATAGGTGCACCCATTTAAAGAGTTCTATACAGCATGAAACCTAGGTCTATGGTTTTCTGTTGACTATCATAAACGATCTATGAAATGTTTTACTGCTTTTCTTTAGTTTAAACAAAATACTAATAATATTTCATAATTTCCATTGATATAAAGGAAGAAACTGGATGATGAAATGTTCTTTTGACTGATTAATCAGGAAGATACATGATTATTAGTATTTACATTTTAAAGATGAATAATAAATGATCACGATATGATCTCGATAATAACAACGAATGATTTAATTAATGAATTATATAACGCAAATGATAACAATGTAATATCCATATAGTCTGAAATATATATTTATAACTAACAAAAATGCGTGAATTTAATAGAATAATGACGTATGATATTTTTAAAATGATACTTAAAATCATGAGTCAATTGAAGCTAGACGACCAGGGAAAACTTCGAAGCACTGGACGACCGTTTCTTCCTATTGTGTGACTCCTCAGCAGTGCGCATCCGAGATCCAGCACTCGCGAGATTCGAACCCAGAATCTACCAGTCTCGCGCCAGCGTACTTAACTGATATACTACTGAGCCGGTCGGCATCCAACGGTGTTAATGTCTAACTTCAACCAATCCACGAAGTTGAGCAACCGTTCACCAATTGTCTTCAGTGAGTTGATATCTCTACAACAGACTTGGTTGAACTCCACTGGTTACTGCTTTTCACTAGAACTCCAGGAAATACCTCATGGAGCCAGTCACTACTGAGCATATGATATTGTAAATATAAAGTAATCTATTTAAAAGAATTTCTGTCTCATTGTTTAAATACTGAAGTATTTACTGAATGATGCTAAATAATACCGGAAATCATTAAGAGTGGTAAAATAGAGTAGTATGAAAAATAATATAAAGAAGGATAGATTTCACTGAAGGTATTAAAGTAAAAGATATACAAATGATGAAAGTTTGGGAATTGAGTAAACAATTAGATAAAACATACTCATTTTTCTACAATGTTTCTGCTTCTTTAAAAGGTTAGTAATGAAAAAAAAACATGAAAAGATTTCAATGAATCATAATAAATATTCCTAAAAATTGAAATGCATGTCTATTTCATGAAAAGATTCGGTCAAATCTTCAAGGATCGAAATGTCGCCCACAAACCTTTAACATTTAAAAGCTGTTGTGGAACACGGTCTTGTATAAATGTTTGATATAAGAGGCAAAACACAACTTTTTTCAAGGAGTAGGTGAATTGATAGATGCTTATACGCGTAACCAGATGAAAAAGCTGGTATGAAGTTTATAAATATCTGTAGGATGTTAGAAATTTAAAAAAACATACTCATCATTTCAGATTGGTGATTTCTGAGTACATACGTTGCTTTAGCAACTCAGAATTCATGTGAAGATAATTCCTAAAATCCTAACTGATTGATTATTAGTTACCCATTCTCGTCAAATTTCTATCAACGAAGCAACTAAAATGGCCGTTTTGAAATAGAAATCCCTTAGAACGTTTACTTCTTCATCACTAAAATCTTTACTACGGGCATAATACGTTAAATATTGTTAAGCGTAAATAAAAATATTCTTTCTAACCATATTGTGACCAAACAAAAAATGTCTTACTAATCATCCTATATTTCTTTTCTGTAGATGGATCTTTTCAAAACAATTTTGTCATCACATAAAACAAAACAAAAACATCTATAAATAAAATGAATAAATTTAATTTAATTTTAGTAGTTGATATCATGAATCAATTAAAGCTAGACTACCATGGAAAACCTGGAAGTATTGGATGGCCGTTTCTTCCTATTGTGGGACTCCTCAGCATTGCACATCCACGATCCCACCCTGTGAGATTCGAACTCAGGACCTATCAGTCTTAATTTAATTTACTAAATTACTCAATTTTTCAAATTTTGATCAAAAGTAATAAAGTATAATTTTGCCCTTTTTTCATGATGTAATCATAGAATTTATATCATTATTATTATTATTACATTATATACACCAAAAACATGTTATTGTTTTCTTTGATTTATCGTTTTACTTTTAATTTTAGATCACAAATTATTATTATGAATAAACAAATTTATAAACAAATAAAAAAAACACAAAAACAACAAAAAAATAAACAAATTTGTGCATATTCTGTGATGTAGGTTTGTTTTCTGAGCTGCCACATCAAAATCACCTACCTGAGCAACAAATCTTCTCCACCATCTCAAATTTGTGCATAAATAAAGAAAAAAAAAGAACAAACAAAAAAATCAATAAATCAATAAACATGCCATTTCAATTCATCATTTATTTTTATATTCTATTTTATATTGAAAAAATTGATTCAAATAATCAATGGATCAATTCAATTTATAATAATAAATCAATAATTTCAAATTATTCAAATAGAACAATCAATCAACAATATTCTAGATCTTTCTATAAATTATCATTAATTAATAATACAAATAATCATTTAAACAAAATTGATTCATCCTATTCAAATTTAAATTTAAATTGGGAATTTAAACAAAATCAAATTACAACAGATTGGGCTGAAAAACGTTTAATTAAAGATTTATTATATGATTATGAAAAACAATCAAGACCAGTTGTTGATAATTTAACACCTAAAATTTATGTAACAAATACACAAATTACACAACAAATTACAGTTGAATTTGGTTTAGAATTATTACAAATATTAGATTTAGATGAAATGGATCAAATTTTAACAACAAGTGTACGTTCATTATATGTAAGTGAAATAATATTTATTTATCAGAAAACGTTTTGTAGAGATTTCAGTATTTCCAAAATTAAAATCATGAGTCAATTGAAGCTAGAACATCAAGGAAAACCTGGAAGCACTGGACGGCCGTTTCGTCCTATTGTGAGACTCCTCAGCAGTGCGCATCCACGATTCCCCACTCGCAAGATTCGAACCCAGGATCTACTAGTCTCGCGCCAGAGCATTAACCGATAGATATATATTTTTGAATAATTATTGTAGGATGTTATTGTTATATCTTGAGCTTAGATTCTTAGTATGTCGCATAATACTTGAGCACTCAAACGCTAGAACACACCCAAGTCACAAAATGAGAAGACAGAAGACTAGTAAGTACGAATGTTATTCCCAAAACAGTGTCAAATATAGTACAAAAATCTCATGTATTTGTAGTCATCATCATCATTTCGAATCGCCAATAGGCACATATTCAACCAATAAGAGAGCTACACGTCGACATTTTAGAATGTTCCTCCAGCGGTGATTGAATGGAATGTCTTCAACTCTTTCTGAGCTTCTAGATGTTTCCTTGAGTTTGCCAACAAACCATCCTAACAGTTATATATTAGCGTTCCTTTGGAAGCAGGAGCGATCTGAAATTACAACACAAAAGTCATGATCAGTAAATGCCTCTGGAGTAAGAACGCGATGTACTGGCATAACAGATATTTTTTTCAAAAATCGAAACAGGCGGTTCGAGCATAAAAAGTGGAAACTTATTACAAATTAGTTTCCACAAATTAGTTCCCACACAAGCGCATACACAAGGCTACATGGATCTCATCGGACCACACCACAGAGAACCAGATAGATCACATCTGTATCAATAAAAAATTCCGAATATCAATGGAAGATGTGAGAACCCGGAGAGGAGCTGACATAGCCTCAGATCACCACCTGGTTGTGGCCAAGATGAGACTGAAGCTAAAGAAACACTGGACAACTGGACAAACAGCACTACAAAGGTTCAATACAGCCTTCCTTCGAGATATTGACAAGCTCAATGAATTCAAGATAACTCTCAAAAATAGGTTCCAGGCTCTACAGGATCTACTGAATGAACAAGAAACTACTTTGGAGGACAACTGGAAAGGGATAAAAGAAGCACTGAGATTCAAGAACAGAAGAAAAGATGGGCAGAATACTTCGAGGAACTGCTGAAAAGACCAGCCCCATTGAATCGAAGCAGCACACACTGACCTTCCAATAGATGTCACTCCACCAACGATCGAAGAAGTCAAGATGGCCATCGGACAAATCAAAAGTGGGAAGGCGGCAGGACCTGACAATATACCAGCAGAAGCACTGAAGTCAGACATTGAAATAACTGCAAACATGCTTCACCTTCGATTCAAAAAGATTTGGGAAGAGGAACAAGTGCCAACGGACTGGAAAGAAGGATATCTCATCAAGATACCAAAGAAAGGAGATCTGAGCAAATGCGAGAACTACAGAGGCATCAGTTTGTTATCAGTACCAGAAAAAGTCTTTAACAGAGTGCTGCTGAATCGGATGAAAGACGCAGTAGACGCCGAACTTAGGGATCATCAGGCTGGATTCCGTAAGGATCGGTCGTGCACAGACCAGATTGCGACACTACGGATCATCGTTGAACAATCAGTTGAGTGGAACTCATCACTATACGTCAACTTTATTGACTACGAGAAGGCGTTTGACAGCGTGGACAGGAGAACATTATGGAAACTTCTTCGGCACTATGGAGTTCCTGAAAACATTGTCAACATTATCCAAAACTCATACGATGGACTACAGTGCAAAGTGGTGCATGGAGGACAGCTGACAGACCCATTTCCAGTAAGGACCGGAGTCAGACAAGGCTGTCTACTCTCCCCATTCCTCTTCCTTCTAGTGATTGACTGGATTATGAAGAATTCGACAACTGACGGGAAATATGGAATACAGTGGACTTCTCAGAATCAATTAGATGATTTGGACTTCGCAGATGACCTAGCCCTCCTCTCTCATACACACGAACAAATGCAGATGAAGACAGCAAATGTAGCAGCAGCCTCCGCATCGATAGGCCTCCACATTCACAAAGGAAAAAGCAAGATTCTCAAATGCAACACGGAGAACACCAACCCGATCACACTTGACGGCGAAACTCTGGAAGAGGTGGAAACATTCAAGTACCTGGGCAGCATCGTTGATAAACAAGAAGGATCGGATGCAGATGTAAAGGCGAGGATTGGCAAAGCAAGGACAACATTTCTACAATTGAAGAACATATGGAACTCAAAACAACTCTCAATCAATTTCAAGATCAGAATCTTTAATACGAACGTCAAAACAGTCCTACTGTATGGAGCTGAAACATGGAGAACTATTACGACCATCATCAGGAAGGTACAAGTATTTATAAACAGTTGTCTGCGCAAAATATTCAACATCCATTGGCCGGATACTATCAGCAACGGCGTTTTATGGGAGAGGACAAACCAGCTTCCAGCTGAAAAGGAAATTAGGAAAAGACGTTGGAAGTGGATTGGACATACATTAAAGAAAATCACCAATGTGCATCACGACTCAATCCCTAACTTGGAATCCGGAAGGGAAGCGGAAAAGAGGAAGGCCAAAGAACACACTACGCCGGGAAATAGAAGCCGATATGAAAAGGCTGAATAGTAACTGGAAAGAACTGGAAAGGAAGGCTCAGGACAGAGTTGGATGGAGAATGCTGGTGAGCAGCCTATGCTCCTCGATGAGGGTAACAGGCGTAAGTAAGTAAGTATGATTAAGTAAAATATCACTGATCATTGATTTATTTAGGACAGAAAGATTGTGTCTAGCAGAAGATTCCAGGAAGCGGACTTCATCCCATTTGAGATTGATTAGTTAGATGTATCTAAATAACAATTTCGGTAACCGCATTAGGACTTGAATCTAATATCGTTCCTTTTAAACACTAATGAATTATCTACTAAGTTACTTTATTCGTAACGCTAATAACTTCAACGAATATGATGTTGGTAACATTATTAGTAAGAAGAGATGGATAGTGGCTAGCAGTGGAATCCAGGACGCGCGTTTCGTCCTATTTGGGACTCGTCAGCTGGATGTACCTGCACCTCAGAGTTGATGTTCACTCTGAAACTCGAACCCAGTACCCTCGCTTCAAATTAAGGTATATCGAGGCAATACGCACAGTATGCACATATGCCAATTAGAGACTGACCAGTTGCAGTCCTAAACACATCGATGGGAAGATCCAAACAAACAATACTAAGTGAATTCATTATTAGTAAGAGTTTAAGATAACTTTCTTTTTATATTCAAGATTGAATTCTGATCAATTAACATGTACATAAGAATGTCATCCACCCTGTTTGTGCACATATACCAATCATGACTGATCAAGATTCAGTAGTAAATATCAGTAACAACATAATTCACTCGCTTAGTAACAATGATATTTTTCACTGATTTTTTGATAATTATCTCATTGTACAATCGGGTGTGTTATATCAATTAAATGTATAAATATTCTTCTTTCATTCTAATACTGATTATAATGAGGTATTAATTCTTATTTGAACAAAATGTTTATTTCATGAAGAGATGAGTTATTTTTTATACCTAAAAGTAACGTTTAGATTCATTTAAAAGTTGAATTTTGTATATTCAACAACCATGGTGCAGATTGGATGTACCTGCATCTCAGAGTTGATGTTCACGCGCGTCCTGGATTCCACTGCTAGCCACTATCCATCTTTGCTTATAATGCTTGTGAATTAAGGCCTTATCGAGGCAATACGCACAGTATGCACATATGCCAATTAGAGACTGACTAGTTACAGTCTTAACACATCGATGGGAAGATTCGAACAAACAATACTAATTGAATTTATTGTGTCGATTTCTTACATGTTTATCATACTTTTCTGTTATCACTAAGCTCAAGAGTATAAGGCCAAATATTAACTGGCAAACTAAATTTGAATCATGTAATACCTTCTTATGAAATAACATTTTAAACAATTTTTAATAAGAAAATAATATTCATTTAAATATTTTCTTTTTTCCTTTTTTAATATTAAACAAATTAGAAATGGACAGATCATAATTTAATATGGAATCCAAATGAATATGGTGGTATTGATTCAGTAACTATACCTGTAGAATATCTATGGATACCTGACATTTCACTTTACAATTAGTAAGTAATTTTTTTTTAGGTGATTTAATAATTATTAACCATAAATCTTAGAAATCTTGGTGTAACATGACATGGTTTATTCTTTGTAAAATATGATTTTAAATGTAATTTTTATCTGTGCAATTATTTCTACAATTAGAATACAAATTAACAGAATAACTGTCATCATGACATTTTCGGACAGTGTATAGTCTTTAAAAGGCATGTTAAATTAATTTAAATGATGACGTGACCATTAAGTACAGGAAGGGAGAGGAATGAATAGATAAGTACTGATCAAGTAAATAAATATTTCAGCATTAGGTTATGGAAACTGTTCAATTACAATGAAGTCACTAACAATTATATATATATGTCATTATTAGTTAAATGTAGATATACTCAAAAAGATCATTGCTTAAGCAGGTATATATATATATATATATATATATATATATATTTGAGAAACTCATTTCGTTTAGTACTACTGTAGTTAAATATATAAAGTTTATAGTTTGCAAAGGTTGATAGAATGCAATCCACCTCTTGAAACTCTTCATAAAGTCTAGTTATAACATGCAATTTTATATGGAAACGAAAAGAACCAGTTCACTTTCTTTAAATTGCCGCATAACGAAGAGCAGATGGGACATTTTAATGTCTGGTCTACCGAAAAAGTTCTTGGAACGGTTTTTATTTGAATTTCAGTAATTTTAGTACAGTCACAAGAAAGAATTAATCACAACACTATTATGGAGAAAAATGGATATGTACCACTGACAAACTGGGGGAGGAATTGATAAACGTAGAAAATTTACAAAATGATAACTGCTAACTGCAAGCATTCATTAAGAAATGTAAAAAACTAAAGACAATAAAAAGAATATGGCAGCAGTCAGTAAAAGCCAATGTTTATAAATTCCAACTTCAAAAGTGATGAAGTCATAATCAAAATCATCATGAGGTTTAACTCAGGATTAGCCAGAACTTACTTAGCCGCCAAAGTGTTGATCTTGTATTAAACAACATGTCCAATAGTTCAGTCAAAGATCAAAAAGTCTTCCTTTCATGTTACTCCCAACTGTATCTATAAATTAATATGTACCCGCCAAAACAGCCACATAGGCCAAACAGAAAAGGAGTCATATCTTACATTTTCTAGGCATGTTACGAAGATCTTTCAAATAATATATTAAACTAATTTAAACAACGCAATGAATAGTGGACATCAGGTCGACACCTTAAAATTTTCTAAAGTGATTCGTAAACCTGTTGTCAAACCTCAGAGCCTTCAACTCTCATGTAAATGAATAAAAAATGTAGTTTGATTTTAACAAATGTCAAATACATTTTGAAATAGACTAAGAACTACATAACAATTAAATTAAGTACACTAAGAAAACAAATCAGAAATTTATATGATTAACTTACCAATAAGACTTAATCAATTGAATATTCAATTACTTTATTTTCAAATCATCATAGTAACAAGAAGATAAATTGATGAAGTTTGTTTTTTCCGTTTCACTAAAGCCGCTGATACCCTTAGGATATATAAAGAATTAGTACAACTAATGTACGGTCAATGAATTTAAATGAATAGTTATATAATTTGATATTATCATTCTAAATTACAACATACCTAAAGAGTTAATTATTTTTGTATTGAATCCTTTATTACACTGAAGTAATATATGTATTTACATATATTGGTGATTGAGCCAAATGAAAACGATACTGACGAACCTTTTTTAAAAAATTAATTCTTTGAAATTCCCAGTGATATTACTATTTGACTACATAAAAAGCAGAAGGGGTTTTGTGAAGATTTCAGTATTTTCATAGTTGACATATAAAGAGCAATTTATTCTAAACTGGCAATTAGATGTAACTAACATATAAATATCATTGTATAGTTTATTTTGCTTGACCTGATATTTACCTACTACTATGAATAGTTTCTATTTAATTAACTTCAATAAATCATGTTTTGGATAAGCTTCAATGTCATTACTTAAGTCGTTAACTTTATTATTGGTGATTTCACACTATATGACGCTTCAAATGTTTCAATATAAAATTTTTAAAAAAATGCCTAATGAGCAGCGTAAAATTTCATTTTGAAAGTTTTTCAAGGTGATAATCAATTGTATAATTGAAAGCGTGAGTCAATTGAAGTTAGACCACAAGGGAAAACTTGGAAGCACTGGACGGCCGAAAAGTCCCACAATAGGACGAAACGGCCGTCCAGTGCTTCCAAGTTTTCCCTGGTGGTCTAACTTCAATTGACTCACGCTTTCAACTATGAAAATATTAAATCTCCACAAAACCCCTTCTGATAATACTTGTATAATTGTTTCAATCTAAGAATAAATTACATAAGATGTGGGATGGGATTTATGGATTTAAATAATTCTTTAAGCATGAAGATATTTGAGTTTTGCCTTACAAAGTTTCATTCTTTATCGTTCACCTTTAAAATGTTTACAAAAAAACAAACATGGAAAGTCTTCGATACTGAGCTAATAAAAAATTTTTTCTTCAATGCATAGGTGTGTTGGATAAAAGATAACCTGTTGTACACTAAACTCGGATCGGTCTATACGATGTACCATGTTTATTAGTGTTTTGAGATTCATTAATTTATATCTATAGAGATAAACAACGGAGGTAATTTCGATATCATCATGTTTTTTGGACTGGCTGACCTAACTATGAGCTTTCGTTGTGATTCTAGTCAATACACTTAGCAATTACTTTTATTTGTAATATACAGTGATGAAATTATTCATAATAAGAATGGTAGCTCCTCAATAAATCAGCTAGATCAGAACTACAATGAACCTTAGATAATAACTGTTACAAATGTCGGATATTCAGGAATTCAAACCAAGTTTATTTGTTTCGTGGAAATATCCACAAGGAAATCAGTATTATCATGGGTTATGAATAAGGATTGATGATTATGATTAATATATATGCTTTAAAATATTGTCATGAACAGTTTCTTTTCCTTTGAAACTTTATCGAATTAAATTCACTTGGTATTGTTTGTTCGAATCTTCTCATTGATGTCTAGGAATGCAACTGGTCAGTCTCTTATTAGCATATGTGCATACTGTGCGTGTTGCCTCAATATAGCCTTATTTCACAAGCATTGTAAGCAAAGATGGATATTGGCAATTATAGATACCATGAATAATTAGTTATTCTAAGACAGTTATAGTAATTTGATTTAGGTAAATAGTCACTGAGTACAAAATTTTACAACTGTTTCCTAACAACCACATAGTTTTATATTTCAGGAATAGATTGACTTAAGAATAGTTTTGCTTGATATACATTCATTAGACAGTCTCTAGATAAAATATGATATTAGTCAATCAAAGACTCAAAATTGATAACAAAAATTAAATCATTGTTACTATTGAATAATAGTCAGTCAAAATAGAAAGTCAGTACTGATAAATCTACTTTATTATCATTATTCTTAAAAACATATTGTTGTGCTTAAGTGTGAGGATAGAGTGATTGACATCAGTTTTATGGGAAATTTATTGTACATTTAAGTGTAGGAAGTAAGTACGACATATATTGGAAATATAATGGTTGAATGTATTAAATTTAATGTACATATATGTAAAATGTAGTAAATTTAATATATTTTATAAAATTCAGAAATGGAATTTTAAAACGTCAACACCCTTCTAGGGATGTGATATTCTAAGGTAAAATTAAAATCATGAAAGCTTACTTCAAAGTTGTGTTCATCATAGATTGATATCAGATCCGTCACCAAATGAAAGTGAGTTTCGCAATGAACATAGAATCACATATCCACTAGGTCACAGACTACATATTATATGGAAATGCAGAAGAAAACAACTGACTTATAAGAAACTAAACTACCCATTGAATGGTAGATATGGCTTTATCTGAGGTTTACCAGTTATAAGAATTTAAGTTAGATGCATTATTACGTAATTAATCGGACTAACTGGATTTTTATAATATGCCAACACTCTGACCTATTCCTCTTACCAAAAGATTAATTTAAACAGCTTCTAATAATGCGTACTGAAGAAATGCAATTTCAATTTGATAATGTTTTATGTTGTCGGATTGACAGAGTGACTACGGATAGCCCACTGAATCTGATCCTCCCAGATATGTTTAGGAAAACTTAGAACAAAATGTGATGAAATCAGTAATCATTGATATAACTTCATACGTCTAGTATGCTGTTAATAAATTTGTGACATTTAGTGCTAATCAATATGTTTCTCATTTACTGAAGCATTTCATTATGGCACAAAGAAATATTAAATTTGCAGTGGAACATGAACACAACAATGTATCCCATTTACTAGACCTTAGTATGAAGCGTAATAACTTCCAATATTACGATATAAAGTATGTACACTGACTTTTAAAGATTAATACTATGATGTTTAGGTTGTAAACAGCTAATGAGAAAACTCTGAATATAATGAATTCATGTTATTTTACTACATTATTTATTCTTGTTTTAGTCAAATGACATTTTTAGCCGATGGAACATTTTCAGAATTTTCATAATCTTAGAAATAATTTGTATAAATTAATAAAGCTTTTCTTCATAACTTACAAATAGATTCAATAACCTATTTTCGATTACTCTCAATGTCATAAAATCAACAATTTAAAAGTTTGGAGTTCTGTAGGTTAGGCGTTCACGCACATGACCAAAAGTCCTGGGTACGAGTCCCTCATGCGGGATCGAGAATGTGCTCTGTTGAAGAATCTCATACTAGGACTAAGCGACCGTCCAGCACTTCCAGGTTTTCAATGGTTGTCTAGCTTAGATTGACTCATGAAGTCAACTGTTAAAATTGAAAAGTTATTGTCTGAATAAACCTATCGTGGAACTATTGAACCTTAGCTAAAGGGATTAGTGATATAATTTATCTAATAATAGCTTTCAATCTTGATTTACTAGATCTTAGTAGACTATTGACAAATATAATGGTATTAAGAAACAA